TTTTTTTTTTTTAAAGATTTATTTTATAAAGAGTTGGAGATATCCACTTATCTGCAGGTTTGAGAAGTTCTGAACTGTGAGGATGTTTGTGGAGAATTACATGTTTTTGTTTTTATTTTTTTTCAGTTTTTGGCCGGGGCTGGATTTGAACCCACCGCCTCTGGCATATGGGGCTGGTACCCTACTCCTCTGAGTCACAGGCGCTGCCAGAGAAATGACATGTTTTACACAGTCTGTCATTAATTGCCCTAAAGTGCTTTGTTTCTTTCTAAAGTTGGTTTAATAAACAAATTTGACTGAACAGGTTGTTTGGAATTGCACTTATCATCACAGTATTCTCAAAGGCGATATGATAAATGTTAGAATGTCATGCATAGATACTAGCGGTCCAGTCCCTTTGAATTCCTATTGTTTACCTGCATTAACCCTTGGCTATTTCAGAATATAGTCTTTGAATCACTGGCATCATAATCCCTTGGGCCTTGCCAGAAATGCAGTTTACCAGGTTCTGCTAGAGACCTACTGAGTCAGAACCTGATTTTGATTTACAAGATTTCTTGTGATTCCTAAGCTCATGAAAATTTAATGTAGTCTAGAGTAGCTTTTGCAGCAGTCTTGGTCTGTTTTCTTGGATTCCTACTTTTGCTTTGCTGCAAATATGTGCATAAACACATTTGAAATTAATTCCTGATAATTTTGGTGAGAGTATTCTGTATGTATTATTTATTGGGCCCCTTTTTACTGCATTGGGCTTTGGGAATGTCACACAATTATTTAAATCAGTTACCCTTAGTTCTCCTAAAAATCTTTTGTGTATTTCTTTGAAGGCAAGAACCGTATTTTATTTAAACCTTTGTGTCCACACAGTTCCTTGTATGCAAATGCTCAATAAGTTGAAAGCTGAATGAATTATGAATAAATGATGCAATGAATGAATACATGGAAGAGGAAGAATCTAGTCAACAAATTCCTTGAAGGCTGGGACAATGTCTTATCCTTGAATTGCTAAAGTATTGCAGAAAACCCATCAATAATATTGCATGGTTAATTTATAGTTGTTAGATGAGAAGAGATTGTGTATATTTATTCCTGGCATAAGACTCTAGGGAATAGAAATGGAGGAAAAAATAAAATGGACTGCCACTTACAGTGTTATGCACTTTACCTTAGATGAGGTAAAACATCACAACATCCCTGAACTCGGTATTGTTTTACAGAAGCGGAAACAGTTCTGCAACTTAAGCCCTTCACCCACTTTCACACAGCTAGCGTTAGAGCCTGACAATTCTTGGGTGTAATTTGCATATCGTGTAATTTGCTTGTATCATATTATCTCGTGCACAGCCTTGTTTTTGTACAGATTGAGAGGTGGAAGAAAAATGATCCTTTATATAGTAAAATACACAACTCTCTGGGTTTCCTTTGTGCATCCCAGGCTCTCGAAGAAAGAGCTTCTGTTCTCTCTCTTTTGCCCTAGACAAGGCAGGAACACTGGAATACAAAGCTACCTCCCCGCGCCGGTCTTTCTCCCGCCAGCGGAACGCAGGTGTTGGGGCCTTCAAGCGCGGAGGGGACCGGAGAGAAACGGACACCCGGCTCGGCGGTTGCCTGGTAACGCCCGCTGGAGGAGTCCCAGCATAATAAGGTCCCGGAGAAGTGTCGCGGACCGGGAGTGGGACCCGGTGGCCAGTTCTCTCCGCGCCGGCGGCCTGTCCCCGCGGCTCGGCGGGCTAGGGAGGGGACATGTTGCAGGAGGAGTCGGACCTCTCTCTCATTATTGCCCAGATAGTCCAAAAGCTCAAGGGCTCCAGTTTGTACGGTCAGCTGGAACGGCAGGCCTGGGTGAGTGGCCGGGTGGGAAGGGATGGAGACGGGCGGCGCCGCGGTGAGGTCTCTTCTGCACCCTCCGTGCCGAGCCCGAGGTCGCCTCCGATCGCCAGCTTCACCCTGGGGCACTCCGCCGGCTCGGCCCAGGCGTGGGAGATGGGTTTTTAAAGAAGGGTGGGGCACATGACACCTTTCTTCGGGCCGGAGAAACCCCGAGTTTACTCATTTACTGTTCTGGTGGTCGCTGATACAAGTACCTGATTTTTTTAAGCCGCTGGACTTACTAAAGGTAGTTTGGACCACGCCTCCCCTCACTTTTCCGATCCCGTGCGAGGGTGGACTTGATCCCTCAGGTGCCTTTCTGCTTTCTCGACCACGTACTACGCATCACTTTCTAGCACTTGACCCTCCCTGCAATGATTACTTCTCTATCCGTCCACCCCGCCTTTTATTGGGTGTTGTTTAATGTGCTAGGCACTGGGAATGCACAGGCTGGTTAGGAGATCTTTGCCTTTTTTTGGTGAATTTGCTTTTGTGAATGTCATATAAATGGAATCATAAAGTATGTCAACTTTTGTGCCTGCTTTGTGTCATTTAACATCATGCTTTTGAGACTCTTCCAAGTTGTTGGTATTTCAGTAGTTATGTTCTTTTTTTTTTTGCTGAGTAATATTTCATTGTTTGAATCTATTATGGTTCGTTTATCCCCAAAGGACAGTGGGTTGTTTTCTGGTCTTCAAGGTTATGAGTAAAGCTTGTATATACATTCTAGTATAGGTGTTTTGTTTGGATATTTCTTATATTCTTGGATAAATACCTAGGAGTACAATAGCTGAGTTGTATGGTGAGTATAATTTTTAATTCTGTAAGAAACTGCCAAACTTTTCCAAAGTGGCTGTACTGTTTTCCATTCTCACCAGCAATTTTGAGACTGACTTCAAGTTGTTCTACATCCTTGCTAGCCCTTGATGTTGCCAGTTTTCAGTTTACTTTTATTAATTACACCTATAAAAGGAGCATAATGTTATCTCATTGTAGCTTTAATTGCATTTCCCTGAGGGGTAATGATATTAAGCATTTTCTCAAGTGCATTTTCTTATTTCTTTGGTGAAGTAGTCTGTTCAAATGTTTTGCCCATTTAAAATATGTATGTGTATTTTTATTGTTGAGTTGTAAGGATTCTGTATAAATGATATAAGTCTTTATCGGATATGCATTCTGCAAATATTTTATCCCAGTATGTAGCTTATGTTGTCATTTTCTTTTTTTTTTTATTATTAAATCATAGCTGTGTACATTAATGCAATCATGGGGTACAGTGTGGTGTTTTCATACACGTTTTGAAATACTCTCATCAAACTGGTCAACGGACCCTTCATGTCATTTTTTCAATTATTGAGTTAAGATATTCATGCTCTGCTTTTGGAAAGATTCCCTTGTACCCTTGTAGGATAAACCATATGTTTTCATTTTCTTAACTGGGTCTTTCAAAGGGAAAAAATGTTTAATGTTTATCCTGGCATCTTTGTTGAAAATCAGTCTCATATACTTTTCTGATTTTTTATTTTGTACCATTGATCTATTTGACTATCATGCAGTACCACCTTGTTTTGCTTTTTGTAACTTTATAATAAGCCTTGAGAGCAGACAGTTAATCCTCTAACACAGTTCCTCATTTTCAAAATTGTTTAGCTATTCTAGGTTAATCTGTGAATTACTGCAAAACTTGTTGGGATTTGCATTGGGATTATGTTGCATCTACAGAGCAATTTGGGGGAAAATTGATATTTTAACATTGAGGTTTTTTGCATGAACATAATTTCTTCATTTATTTGTAGTATCTTTTGTATTTTCTCTTGTCAGTGTTTTGTAGCTTCAGTATGCAAATATTGCACACTTTTTGTTAAGTTTTTCCTCTAACTATTTAATATTTTGTGATGCTATTATAAATGAAGAATTTTTTTTCATTTAAATTTCCTGGTGGAACCTGTGGCTCAAAGGAGTAGGGAGCCAGCCCCATATGCCGGAGGTGGTAGGTTCAAACCCAGCCCTGGCAAAAAAAAAAAAAAAAAAAAAAAAAAAAATTCCCATTGTTGTTGTTAGTACAATTACTATTGATATAGTAACTGTGTGTCTTGAGACCTTGCTACACTTACTATTGCACCTTTTTGTAGATCGGATTTTCCAGGTACACATATCACAGCCAAATAAAGGCCGTTTTACTTCTTTCTTTTCAATCTCTAGGCTTTTTATTTCCTTTTATTGATTTATTGTATTGGATAATGTCTCCAGTGTAATGTTGTATAGCTTTATATCAGGTTGAAGAAGCTCTCTTCTATCCCTGGTTTGCTGAGAGTTTTGTCATGAATGGATGTTGAAATTTTGTTAAATGCTTTTTTTGACTCTGCAGATAG